CTAAAAATATTCTGGGTTTAATTTATTCTCTTTTTAAGAGATACTTGCTAGTTCTGAGATACTCAGAAATTATGAGAAGTTCATGTTCTATCTTGAGGCCTTGCGCAATACACCGCGAATAAGTCCTTAAGGACAATGATTTACACACCTCAGAAAATTCTTGTTCGTGATCTTTATTCTTTATTATCAGCTTTTACAACAATCTTAAGGACTTATGGCTGACAACAACAACTCAATCCCGGAGAATCGGAATATTGTTTCCGGAACTCAAACGGTCTTCGCGAAACCTTTCCCAGATGTATCAAAAATTGAAGTCTTCTCCGGTCAGAATTTCCGACGCTGGCAAGAACGCGTGTCAACCCTCTTAGACATGTACGGAGTCGCTTATGCTCTTTCATCTTCAAAACTCGACTCCAGTCTCCCTCCAAATTCAAAACAAGTTGAAGACTGGGTTCATGCAAACAAGGTATGTCGTCATACTTTACTTAGTGCACTCTCTAACGATTTGTTCGATGTGTACGCTTCCTACAAGGAAGCGAAAGACATTTGGGATTCGTTGATTCTCAAATACACTGCTGAAGATATAGTCAGACAAAGATTCATCATTGGGCATTACTATCGCTGGGAAATCCTTGAAGACAAGGACATAAAGTCGCAAATTAATGAGTACCACAAGCTGCTCGAAGATATCAAAGCGGAGAACGTTCTTCTACCAGATGATTTTTTTCAGAGCTTCTGATCGAGAAACTGCCGCCTTCTTGGACTGATTACAAGCAACAACTAAAACACAGGCACAAGCAAATGTCACTTTCAGAGCTGATCACTCACATAATTATTAAAGTTACCAACAGGAAAGAATGTGTTGTTGTGAGGGCCAAAGCATTGTCTGCAAAAGCAAACATGGTAGAAGACAAACATGCTCCAAAAAGGTACGAACACAAACCTGATCACAATAAGAAAATAATTTTCGAAAATATCCCCCCAACGCATCTAACCCCACCTTTAAGAAGAAAGGAAATTGCTTCGTATGTGGGAAGTCGGGCCATCATGCACCACAGTGTAGGCGCAGAGCAAGAAACGACAATCCTCCTAAGGCCAATATAGTCGAAGGAGATGACATTATTGTTGCAGTCGTTTCTCAAGTAAATCTGATGACAAATGTGAGCAAGTGGGTGGTAGACTCTGGTGCTACAAGGCATATCTGTGCAAACAGAAGTGCCTTTACCTCTTACATTAATGTAGGGGATGGAGAAGAACACGTCTACCTCGGTGATTCCAGGACCACTCCTGTTCTGGGAAAAGGGAAAGTTCTTCTCATACTCACATCTAGAAAGACTCTGGCCTTGAGTGATGTGCTACATGTGCCATCAATCAGAGTTAATTTAATCTCTGTAGCTCTACTCGGAAAAGTGGGGGTTAAAGTGTCATTCGAGTCTGACAAGATTATAATGACAAAAATAATGTTTTGTGGGGAAGGGATATTGTGATCAGGGTCTCTTTGTACTTAACATTTATGAAAATATTAATGAATCATCTTCTTCTGCTTATATTGTTGACTCATATGATATACGGCATGCTAGATTAGGACATCTGAATTCTTCCTATGTTATGAAATTAAAACAACTAGGATTAATTAATATGCATGATAAACAAAGTAGTAAATGTGATATATGTGTAGAATCTAAAATAACAAAGAAAACTTGTTTTTCTGTAGAACGTCAAACTGAACTGTTAGGTTAATTCATACTAATCTAGCTGATATGAAACAAACCATGTCTAGAGGAGGTAAAAATTATTTTGTGACCTTTATAGATAATTATTCTAGATACACCAAAGTATACTTAATCAAACATAAAGATGAAGCCTTTGATGTGTTTTTAACCTATAAAGCAGAAGTAGAAAATCAATTAAATAAGAAAATTAAAAGAATTAGATCAGATAAAGGTGGTGAATATGTTTTGTTTAATGACTTTTGTGTTAAAGAAGGTATCATCCATGAGGTAACTCCACCATATTCACCTGAGTCTAATGGAGTAGCTGAGAGAAAGAATAGAACTCTTAAGGAGATGATGAATGCTATGCTTATTAGTTCTAGTGCACCTGATAACCTTTGGGGAGAAGCCTTGCTTACTGCGTGTTTTTTACAAAATAGAATACCTTATAAGAAAACTGGTAAAACTCCCTATAAGTTGTGGAGAGGTTATCAACCTAACCTTAAATATTTAAGAGTGTGGGGGTCTCTAGCTAAGGTGATGTTACCCGATCCTAAGAAAAGGAAAATAGGCTCTAAAACCTATGAATGTATGTTCTTAGGCTATGCTGAACATAGTGCTGCCTATAGGTTTCTAGTTCTTAAAAGTGATACACTTGAAAGAAATTCTATAATGGAGACGAAAAATGCTGAGTTTTTTGAACATGTGTTTCCTTTAAAGGTTAGTGAGACGTCTCAACCTATAGAAAATAATAATAATAGTGATGCCTTGTGTGAGGAATTAAGAAGAAGTAAAAGACAAAGGAAGGAAACTTCATTTGGTAATGATTTCTATACCTATCTAGTTGATAATGATCCAAGTAACTTTGTAGAAGCCATTAGTGCTCCTGATGCAGTGGGATAAAGCCATTAAGAGTGAAATTGAATCAATTGAGAAAAATAATACTTGGACCTTAATAGATTTGTCTAAAGGAGCAAAACCCATTGGTTGTAAGTGGATCTTTAAGAAAAAGTATCATCTTGATGGATCTATAGATAAGTATAAGGCAAGATTAGTAGCAAAAGGTTTTACTCAAAAACCCAACATAGATTACTTTGATACTTTTGCCCCTGTGACTAGGATTTCCTCTATTCGAGTTTTGTTAGCCTTAGCAGCCATCCATAAGCTAGTGATACACCAAATGGATGTTAAAACTGCCTTTTTGAATGGTGATTTAGAGGAGGAAATTTATATGACTCAACCTGAAGGGTGTGTTGTACCATGTCAAGAGAATAAAGTTTGTAAACTTTTAAAATCTTTGTATGGGTTGAAACAAGCACCAAAACAGTGGCATGAAAAACTAGATAATGTATTGCAAATTGATTATAAAAACAAAGGCAAGTGTTATAAACTTATATTGCAAATTGCTTCCGAAAGCACCCACGAACGTTGCGTGATGAACATTCTGCTCTGCACGTTCAAATTTCCTTTTCCCCAAGTTTCGGGATAAAGATCTCGAGAACAACTTTGACCGCGAGGTGAGGTGCGAACTCCAGGGGCAATTTCCACCAAATCTGGTCCATGGGCTTTTTCCCATCTCCTTTCTTGCTCTATAAATAGAGCCTTTCATCCATTCTGAAAATCATCGTCAGAACCTCTTCTTTATTTCTCTCTTCTATTAATTTCATTCTTTCTTCTTTCCCTAAAAATATTCTGGGTTTAATTTATTCTCTTTTTAAGAGATCCTTGCTAGTTTTGAGATCCTCAGAAATTCCGAGAAGTTCCTGTTGTATCTTGGGAGCTTGCGCAATACCCCGCGGATAAGTCCTAGGACAGTGATTTACACGCCTTAGCAAATTCTTGTTCGTGATCTTTATTCTTTATTGTCAGCTTTTACAACAATAAGGCTATGTTCGCTTGAACAGATTGTACTGTTCAAGCGAATTTGCGAGCGAAGAATGATTTCGAAATCGTGTTCTCATATGTTGATTTGAGACGATGGAAAAGCGATGATTTACGTAGATTTAGCGTGGATTGCACTGTTTACACCATCTCGCCAAAATGGAAGGATTTGCGCTGATTTATAAGTAAAAGACTTACATGCCCTGTACGATTGTTCAAAACTCCGACTCCATGTGCAACCCTTTATAATATTAAAAAATCATAATATTAACGTTAATATTAAAGCAGAAGACATGTTGTTGTATCCGATTCCAGTAAACAGCATATCCGGATACACGTTTTTCATTTTTTTCGAAGGAAGCGTATCCGGATACAGGCTTCTTGTATCCGTATCCACCACACGTATTTGCTTTCTTTGGATGGCCGATATGTCTTTTTTCCGGTTGCAGGGATGCCATACCTTGATTCCTTGCTCCGTCGCAACAAAAACGGGTTACCAGAACTGTCTTAACCTTAGTGCATGGGTGATGCGGTCATCATCTTCCTCGCCTCACTGTCAAACGTAGATCCCCCATGGAGGCAATGGTGGGTTCGGGTTGAGGAGAATGGCAGCATAGACACATGCAGTGGAGGAAGGAAGGAGGGACAGTAGGGAGATGTCTGTTATGAAGAAGTGAGTGGCAGAGTGGGGCGTAAGTGGCAGAGGCGGTGATGTGTGTGATCTTCCTAAGGCTCTTCAGATTAGAGAAGAGACCCTGGGTCTTGTAGCCTCTTTGGGCGAAATGGAGGGGATGTAACTTAACCCTAGGGTTTTCTGAATTGGAAGCAAAAGAAAATGTTTGGGCCTGGGTGAGGGGCCATTTTTGTTTTTTTATTTGTTTTTTTTTCTTGTTTTCTTTTTTTTTCTCTTTTTGATTACCTCTTGCAGCTCCTGTTTCATTTTCACACTCCCTATTTAAAAATAATTTCATTTTATCACATTATAATTTTTATAATATTTAAAAATTAATTTTAATAATTATTAATAGTTTTGGTCTCTTTATAAACTTTTTTACATTTAACTATAACATTATTAAATAACATTTTATTTTTAATATATAGCTAGGGACATTTTGGTAATCTTTCATTTCTACTAATTAAACTAATTTTTAAAATCTATCACTTCAATCAAATCCTACACTAATTCTCACAAACTTTACTTCTAAATCCATTCTCAATTAACCACAAATCCACTCAAAAAAATAACTAAAAAATTACCCTCAAATCCACTCAAATCCACTCAAATCCACTCAAATCCACTCAAATCCATTCAAATCATCTCCCCAAGTACACCCAAAAGAACACACCCTAAGTGATGAATTTATTTAATCAATGCATACTATAAATTTCCAGAACATGCACATATTAAGAAATAAAATGCTTTGAGAGAATTAAGGTCAAAAGTGCATTGTCAAATTCCAAATTGACGGTTGCAAACAATGTTTGAAAAACACTAATAGGCCAATGAATTTGCCTATCTCCAGAATGTTGTGTATTGGAACATTCAAGGAACACCAAGTATGTGGTTCTCAATTATCTAGTACAGGAATAAAGTCTGCTTCAGTTTTGTAACTTGTGATATAGCTTTCTTTGAGTGTAACATGCTTGGATGATAGGTGTTGGTGGGTCCGTGAAAGAGCCATTGAGGATACGGTTAGCAACCCAGTGGTTAGCAGCCTCAGCATAATGAACACTGTCCCAACTTATATACTGTGAAGGGTTTTCACAAGCAGTACCAAACACGTCTTTCCCATTTGCACTCCCCAAATTTCCACACCAAATATGTGTATCATTCACATGATAGCCACAACAAATCTTCATAGGATCCACAAATCCTGAAAATTAAGAACAGTTGATGTGCTGTTAAACAGCTTTGCCTAAAATGATTAGGAACTAGAAAAATCATTATCAAACATCTATCTTTGCGTTAGTTTTAGGTGAAAGGAACCAGGGGTTAACTGAATCTTGTAAAAATAGTATACAAGTTACCTTCAGTTTTGGTGTTACTGATCAGTGCATACTTTGCAGCATAGACATCTACATAAGTAATTGCAGCCAGTGGAAGCTCTGTCCTGAGTTTGATGATTCGGTCTTTGAGCTGCTTGTTGAATTCAGTAGCCATCTCATTTTGATCCTTCACACATCCATACTGATCAAGATAGCCGGCTGCTATATTGTGCTTGTAAAATAGTTGTACCGGCATGCACCCAAAGGGGCTAGTGTTGTGTATCCAGAATGACCTCCCTCCTTGTTCGTAAATATTCTGCAAACAGTTTATCAGTAAGATTTATTTTAGACCTTTTTTTTTCAGTAAGATTCTATTCGAATAAACTTTCTTAAAATTCAACTCATAAGTTGATTTTAACTTCAAAATTCATTTTACTTTATTGTTTTTGTTTCTGAAAAGAACATCAAATCCAACTTTTCAAGTGAACCAGGTGGCTACTTACTTTGACTGCATTGGCTAGTTGGTTGACAATATCTGGCATGGATTCACGTATTTGGTCAAAATTCATCTTTCTGAATCCAACTGAGAGATCATTTTGACCAATGTCGAAAGTGTAGAGAGCCTTAGAGAACTCCTCAGGCACCGGAAGCTTGCTCCTTTCAAGTGGGGTTTTGGCTAAATTTCCAGCAAGCAAATACCAACAAAAACACATGAACAACAAAGAACCAACATAACAACAAGGTTTGAGTTTGTTGAACTAAAACTTCTTTCTAGGCACAATTACCTTCTTCGTAGAGTTGTTTGGTGCGTGCTTTGAACTGGTTAAATTGCACAATCTGGATGTAAAGCGAGAAAGGACTTATCCCATATTGAAATATAGTTTCATTCTGCTTCCTAATGGTGGACCCCCCAGTGGCAAAATTTGCCCCATGCCGGTAATTGGTTCCAAGGGAATTCAGATAGGCACTTAAGTAAGGCAAATTTAGCTTCTCAGCTGCACAATAGAGTATAAATAGCAGATTTTGAGGCAAATTAAAACTAAAACTACTTTTCACTGACAACTAATGAACATTGCAGTGCCTAAGTTTTTAAAATGCAAAGTTGGAAACAGCATAACAGAAAGAGATAAGGGTATTTGAAAGTTCATTATACCTATGAAATCTATAATGAGACGGCCATCACAGTCCCTTCCTGAAGGTTTATGAAAAAAACCCTCGCCATAAGGTGCAGGAATTGGCACAAATGAAGCTGATATGCCTCCAGTGTCTGAATTGGAGTCCCCAAAGTTGTAGATTGCAGGAAATGTACAAGTGGGTGAGGGTTTTGGCTCCACACTCTTCACAGACACCACACAAGAAAGGAAGAAGAACCCAAGAAATAGTGCCCCTAACCCCATTTTTCACAACATGTGCCTTTTAAGCAAAGGTGGAGCACCCTTATATATAGATAACCAAAAGCACAAAATGTTGTGGGATACCCTAAGCCTGAAGGACATAAAAGCATAATCTTTCAGCAAATCGCGTGTAATGAAGCAGATATTTTTAGACCCTTGTGTTTTGCTTACAGTTGTCACTTAACTACGTATACTGTAATCTCTTCCAGCTGCCGACTCGTCAATAATTGTCACATGATACGGCTTCGCAATTTAGCAACTCTGCCATTTATGGTCACATGGAGGAAATTTTGTTTTCTTATAATTAAGATAAATGTTGTGTTATATTTATAAAATAGTACGATAGATCTATTGAAAACTAATGTCTAAATTAAACTAAATTATATTGTATAAAAGCAAATGATAGATAAAAAGTTATTACGCTAACATTATACACATGAAATGATAAAATAACATTTAAAAGTAATTAGAAGATCGGTTAGTATTAGAATAGAATATGAAAATTATTCTCAATGTATTTTTGTTTTTTTTTTCTCTTTGTTACAACAGAATAATAATCTCTTTTGCCATATGTAATAGTCTAACTAGTAAAAAATCGTATTTTAACTCGCACATTACGTTTCAGTTTTTCTGAAACCGAAATGTATCAAAACGCAGTGATATTCTCGTAATTTTTAAAACATTATGTCTCGATTGTTAAGCAACCGATGTCTAAAGAGAATACTGTCTCGGTTGGCAGGATGAACCGAAGCATAAATCTCACAGGGCAGAGATACTGCCTCGGTTGGCAGGATGGACCGAGGCATATAAGCCTCTGATAAGTCTTGGACTTGGACCGCGGAACCTTCAAGTCAGCCTCTGGGTAGCAAAACCTTTTCCCCAAATGCCTCTTCTCCTCTCCTTTGCACACGAGTCTCCCTCATTCTCTCGCGCTTCACCCGCACCAGCCATAACTTCGTTGTCCTCAACTTCACAGATCCACCATCACAGAACCTTCACCGTAAGTCAGATCCACCATTTTACCTTTCCTTCATTCTTACCGATTAAAATTAGGTTCTAGCCATTTACACCAGTTAAATCTTTGTTTCTAGCCTTTTCCACCATTTAATCGGACCATTTCACAGATTAAACCACCATAAAACCCCGATCTCTAACCTTCACCAAAAAATCCTTCGGATCTAGGGTTTGCTCGTTCCTTTTCCTCTTCAACACCGAAACCTAGAGTTTATAGATCTGTGTGCTTCTTCCGTTGCCTCATCTTCTCCAACCACGCGTTCAACTCCAGTTCTCAGATTCTTATCTGATCTACTATGACCAGGGGGTCATCATCTCCTCTTCTCCTTCTTCTCGACGATGCTGCGATGGTGCAGCGAGAAAGCACAGACGGTGCTGCGATGGCGGTGAGAGCGCATCGACGATGCGACGAGGACGTAGCCGGTGGATCTACGTTTCTCTCCCTTGGGTTTTTGGTTCTGTTTCTCGGCAGGTGGATGGCAAAATGGATAGTGTTTGTAGTTTGGATTCGCCTCTTGAATTGGGGATTTTGCTTCTTAGTTTTCTTTGCGGCTTCTGATTGCTCGCTGGGAAAGGTCTTAAGGTGGATGATGATGATTGAGGTTGAAAATCTGGGTTGTTAGTGCAGGTTGGAGTTTACCTGGAAAGAAATTGTGGTTTGAGCGAAGGTTTCTGATCACGACTTTTGGAGCTTCTTGTGTTTGAGCGAAGGTTTGCTTCTAGAGAATGTATGGGTTAAAAGATTCTTTGCCACCATTGCCTGTAGATACATGGTTTGTTATGCAAAGTTGGGCTCCAAGTATAAACTAAGTTCATTTCGCAATTGATCTCTTTGTAACTTGTTTGAGAGTTAAATAAATAATGTAAACCACAATTTGTGCAGAATGTTTGTGGATGCAATGATGCACAGATGTGTGATTGCAATGGATGCAATGAAGTTAAATATTCAACAGGACACTGTCCTTTGAGTTTGTAAAAAGTAATTTTCTTCCTCAAAGGATCAAGTATTTTTGCCCCCATTTGTATAAAAACATGGATGAAATAAAATTGCAGGATAAGCTTGAGATTAAAAAATAGAGAGAGAAGTTTAAGGCACAAAGAGAAGGAGAAGAGAAAGTAAAAGAACATAGAAAAATAGAACAGAATGAGGAACCAACAAGTGATCTAGGTTGAGATTAAAAAAAATTAAAAACACGTTACTGTCTCGGTTGTCTGTGAATCGAGGCAGAATCCGAACCTTTTTGACTCGGTTCAGAACCGAGGCAAAAAGTTGATCCCTTTTTACTTCACCTGTATATGCCTTGGTTGCAAAACCGATGCCTATAAGTGAAAATAACCGTTGTCATTTCCCTTGACTGCAGTAGTGTCTGTTATTAGTCATAGACAACTTGTTTAACAAGGATAGTTACTATAAATGTTCCTTTTTGTCCTTTACTTTTGGTGTGTCGAATACAATGAAAACATTCATTATTATTTGAATCTAAGATGGTATTTAGAGTCTTATCTTCTAGTGGAGTTTTCTTTTACCTGTATAGCAATTCTCATTCATAAATTACCATAATAGACAAACCTTTTAAAAATTATGAGAATAGATAATTAGTATGAGACTACACAACTTCAAATGAAGAAATTGTGTATTTTCAATTAACTTTCGAATGGATAGAACTAGATAGTAAAACTTGTCAAGTCTCTCAACAATTTCAACATGTTGTAATTGATCTGAAGGTGTTGGGGACATGATGACTTTCAATTGTAAATTAAAAGTCGTCTTAGGATAAGACGACTTCCAATGGATAATACGCATTATAATCGATTATGAGTGAATTATAATTGATTACCAGGAAAATATATTTGTAAAATGACGAACTGTAATCGATTACACTTCCCTATAATCGATTAATAGAGTGTTTTGATTGTTATCGTAGAAGAAATCTTGTAATTGTTGAAAATCACAATTGATTAAATAATTTGTGGTGTATATTAATGATAATGTATTAAGAATAGAAGATACAAGAGTAAATTAATAATACAAATTAATGAACAATATAGATATGTAAAAGTTAATGATGAAATGGACATGTTCCTATGATGACTTTCATTGCGACACTAAAAATATGTTTTAGGTTAATCCAAAATTGGTTGATCCATTTTGTTATGGATTCCAATAGTAGTTGGTCTTTCTAATGCCTTATATCGAAATTGAAAATTTGGTATTATGGTGTCGATTGTACACAGGTTCGATTAGATTTTGTTAGTAATATATGATAATATGTACAAATAATTATGACATTTACTTGAAAGTGATGACAATCACACCACAATTTTTTTTATTCTGATGTTATATAAAATTGGTTGAGGACGATATTGGTGGGGGTTAATATTTCTTACATGTCAAATTCTGAATTTTCTCAATCATACCAATAAACATGATAAAATTTTGATTGTTGTTGATTTTCTTTAAGAACAATATTAATGTCTTTTAGATATTGATGGTCTACTCTTATATGGACTCAACTTTCTATCAACACTTAATTTCATTCGGATAAAATATAAAATGATTTCAAAAAAATAAATAAATAAAATAAGTATTTTAGGTATTAAAAGAATATAATAATAATAATAAATGAATCAAAAGAAAAAATAAAAAATTGAATAAAATATAAATTAAGTTAAAACATGTGTATAATAAAAATTATTATATAGCAAAATTTAGAATTAATAAAAATAACAAAGGGGAAAGGTAAGAAAGTAAAATAAAAAGAAAAAAAAAGACAATGACGATTCAATGCATGAATATGTTTTTATTAAGAAAAAAAGGGTTAAATATGTTTTTAGTCCCTAAACTATTAAGCGAATTTGTTTTTAGTCTCTCTTTCAAAGTAAGGTACATTTTAGTCCTCCTCCTTAAAAAAAAACCTTAATTTTTGGTCCTCCCGGGAGGATAAAAAATTAACCTTTTTTTTAAATAGAAGGAGTGTGGCCAAAAAAGAGGAGCCAGCCAAAGCTCACCCAACGAGCTTCTCTTAGTGCCTAACGACATGCCACTCAATGCCTAACACCCACTGATATGCGCCCAACGACATACATGAAGTTGTTGCTAATTTGTGCATTTATTTTCATATGTTTAATTAGCTTTTTAAAACGTGGCACTCCACATGGTTTGTGATATGTGACATGAGGAGTCTATTAAGCACCAAGAGGCAGTGTAGGAAGCGATTCTCGTCCCCATAAATGGAGTGTTTCTCCATCATGTAAATCACTTTTGAGAATATACTAAAAAAATGTTGTTGAGATCACTCCAACCCATTTTTCTACTTAAAATTCACCATTCAAAGACATTCATAGCCTCCTCTAGCCTTCTTTCCTAACTAGGTTAGTATATCTAGATTATTCTACCACCATATACACCATACCAAATTCATCAAGCCTTTCACAGTTATGACATGATGACAAGGGAGACGATTTTCTTGAAAGTGACCACAATCATACCACCATTCTTTTAATCTGACATTATATGAAATTGGTTAAGGGCGATATTGGTAGGAGTTGGTATCTTCTGCACATTGAATTTTGAATATTCTCGATCATACCGATGGACATAACAAAATGTCGATTGTTGTTGATTTTGAGACAGTGTTGCGGTGGTGACTAGGTTTAATGGAGTCATAGGTTGGTTCTTTGTCATCCTCTTTGTTGTGCTCAAGTGTAACCATCTACTCCGTTTTGGTGAGCAGCGATGTGTGGTTGTTATGGAGCAGTGTTTCTGACAAGGGAGGTTCCTTAGTCATGAACGCTTCTAATAGGCACAATAGCTTCGATGTGGGTGGTTCTCGGTGGCTTGAGTGGTGTGGTGGTGTGCGTCCTCTTTCCATATTTGTCACAATGATGGTGGCAAGTTCGCAAGGAAACTTTAGTGGCAAGCAAGGCACACTTCTTCCTTCCTTTTCTGACGACACCTCTAATGGTTGTTAGTAGAAAGGAAATAAAGATGAAAAGGCTTAGATGTAAGACCCATGAAAAATATTTACCTTAATAGTAATAATTTTATTACTAGTAGTAATAAATTTCTTTGTGAATGGAAAATATAATAAGTTTATAAAATGTGGAAAGATTAATAAGAAATTTTGGTAGCTTAATTTGTAAGAATCATGAAAAATA